CACGTGAGATCGTATGCAATAGGATTTTGTAACAGAAGAGATAAGCGTGTAGATTTATACTAAAAATAGGAAAAAGAAAAATAAATATTTATTGTCAAACAACGGTTTTGATAAACTAAAAAAAATGAGCCGATTTTTTTGCTTATTCAGATTTGTCCAACAATTACTATATTAGGATATATTTAATGATTTTGGCGGAAAAAAGTTTCTAAATTTGTAAAAAGGTTATTCTTTTTATATAATAATAGATTGTACGTAGGATCATCCACCACTCTATACTCCTCTCTCACATCACATGTGGGCCCCACTTGCACCCATCTCTCTCACCTCAATTCCCAGCAGGATCGGCCTTAACCTCTGCTACACAAAAAATAAAATAAAATAAAAATTCCAGCAGCCTCCTTCTCGCCTTTCCCACAAGCGTATGCCCAATCGTCGACGTTGGCGGCCACATAAACGGCGTCGGCTACGGTGACATGCACCGAAAGTATCCCCTCACTGTCGACCATGACAAGGATACCGTTGTCGTCAACGTGGTTGTCTACGTCATCAACCGCCATGGATAAAATCAATATTTATTCATATTATAACTATATAAGTACTAATAGTTATGGATAAAATCTTGGACCACTTTATTATTATTTATATACTAGTATTGATACCCGTGCGATGCACGGGGTGCAATATAAAAAATATTTATTATTGAAATATTATAAAATTATTTAAGATAATATGAAATTATATTCTTCACAATATTCTATTCAGTAATAATATGACATTTATTTATTTATTATTGTTGTTAATTTCTATTTTTGTATATTTTTGTAGTTTTTTACTATCTAATATTATAAATTTTATTATTTATAAGTTTATAAAATATTATAAATGTATAAGATCATATTATATTTGCATACAAATTATTTGTATGTACTTATAAAATTGTCGTTTATTACAGTCTTATAATTTTTTTAACAATTCATAATTTGCACATTGCTTGATAATTGGCCAACGTTTAACCCATAATATTTATCTTCCGCTAGAATTATTAAGTGCATTAAATGTTAAAAACTTTGATAAACAAACTTTAATTTTTAGTGACTTTAATCCTTATGCAACACACAATTTTTTTATGGTTAAATATTTTATTTTTATGTTTCCATTTTTATTTATATTTATTTCTTTAATTCATTTTTTCAACCTATATAATGAGTTACATAGTATCTATTCGAATATTTTGATATATTATATATTTTCATGATTACCAAGTGCTATAATCTAAATTTTTATACATTCCTTTTTTATTAACTTATTTTTCACTTATAAAATAGTATATAAGAAAAAAATAAATATTTTTAAAAATTGGATAGTTTTTAATGTACATAGGTACTTCTAAGGTGGAATTTATAATTTTGAATTGCACCTAACCATCAAATTTTATTTTTATTAGTATTATTTAAATTTTCAATACTATTATTACTGCATGTGATATATTCAATGGGGATGTACATTTTTATAGTTAAATTGACTACATATTTGAAACTTTTATTAATATTTTAGATTATTTATTAAGTTATTATGATTTAAACATAGTTATTCTACTTATTTTATTAAATATTTTAAGTACTTTTGAATAGTGAATATAATTAATTAAATTAATACCTACTGCCATAGATGATAATATATTTAATCAAATCAATTTTCATAATAATTTTTTGAATTATGCTAATAAATTACTATTAAATTAATAGAAGATCTTACTTAAAATATATCTAATAAATTTACAGTCAAAATTTCAATTTAAGTCAATTTGTAGTTAATGAGTAATAGTCATTGTCTCATTGAGTGTATAAAAATTAAATATATTTTTTATGCATATGATTTGCTAATAAATAAGTATTAATTAAATGACAAATATAGATGAAAAAATTTCTCGCCCAAAATTATGTCAATTATGACAATAAAGATTGGTCCACTATATAGATATAGGTATAGACATAGATATAGATATAGATTTATGGTAAAATTATAGGTTCGTATATTTATGGTATCATTGGGTGTCATTATCTTAATTGGTGGTATATATATTTTTAAGTATTATTAAATATATATTTTTATGCATTATTAAATATCAGAATGATTCTCATACTTAAAATTGATTTTTTATTTTTAGAAAAATTGAAACAGAAATTTATTATTATTTTTATATAGATTTTTTACTTAAAATTCTCAATCAATAACTTTTAGGAACTTCAAAGGTAGCTGAATAGTAAGTCGCATAAATATTAATGTAGATTTCATATTAATTTGAATTTTTAATTGGATACTAATTTAGTTAAGTTAATAGAAAGTGCAAATAGAAACACGGATCTAAAGTATTATTGACAAATGCAAAAATAATTAAACTTACAATTATACAACCAAATGTAGAAATGTTGCCAATTATAGTCATTGCATATCATCTTTATTTAGCAATAAATTCCATCAACTCCCTCTTTATATATATATAGATTTAAAGTAACCCTTTTTAATTAGTATACAATTTTATTACTTTTTAAGTAATATTAATTGATGATTTGATTCTATATAAAAACAAATAAATTTATTTAGTTATTTTATGTATGAAATATGAATATCAACCGAAGTTCGTCAAAATATGATTAATTTGATATTATATATAAAAGGATAATAACACATACAAAAGTTATTAACTTTTAAATATATTTATAATTTAAATGAGTCAAGTGTTTTAAATTTTTAAAATTCCTAATAGTTATGGATAAAATTCAGATCAAGATAGACTACTACAAAACACTACACTTCGACAAATAGGATTACGGAGCACAAAAGGTTCACACCAAATTTTGAAGTACATATAATATCGTGACATCATGAAATTATATATAGGGATTGAATAAGAGTAAATTGATGAAAACATATGAGATGATTTACAAAGAGAATTATACTACACAAAATTAAATACGAACATGTAAAAGTAAAATCATAATTTAACGAGCAAACATCAAGATAAATTGAACAAAGAATAATAAATCAAAAGGTAAAGTCCAAACCCAATGAACGAGTATCAAGATAGATTGAATAAAGAATTATAAATCAAAGGTAAAAGAATGACCCCACCTTTGTTATTTTTCTTAAACACACAGATTGAGTAAAGATTTATAAAATAAAGATACATTGAATAAAGAATTATAAATTAAAGGCAAAATAATAAATATACTTTTCTTATTCTTCCTTTTCACACATGTACAATAATGATTAGTTGAAAAAAGAGATGAATAGAACCTATAACCTATATTTATATATGCACATGCATACACATCATTTTGTTTATATCAAATCATTATATCTAGCTTCATTAAAATATTTTAAAGTCTGTTTATCATTTGAATTAACACAAACTTTGAAAGGATAATACATGATCCTATTATTTTACATATCATATCACCTTAATATCAACAACCACTTCTAAAAGTGTATTCAATTGAGATTTCTATTTTCGAGACTCTTAAAATGTCTAGATGTATTTAATTGATAGTTCTAAAGACTTTTTTTTTTAATTTCTAAAAGTGTTAAGTATTCATAAAATCTTTCTCATAGTCTTTAATAGTCTCTCTGTATTCAGTTAATAAAAACTTTGTGAAACTTTAAATTAAAAGACTTTTTGGAGATTTTTTTATTCAAAAGTATAAAGACAAAGTTTTTGTAGAAATCTCATCAAATTGGTGAAAGTTTTTTTTGGAGATTTTTTTATTCAGAAGTATAAAGACAAAGTTTTTGTAGAAATCATATCAAATTGGTGAAATTTTTATCGTCATTGACCCTTTTCAAATATTTTCTCTCTCTTTTTTTTTTTCAAAACGATAGAGGTATTATAACTCAAACAAAACGAGCAATGTTCGAATAATACAACGAGCAACACCCGAAAAGAAAACTGGGAGGACACGCTTAAAGCGGCCTAGAACATAACTTCCTAACCTAAAGCAGTACCGACTTAACTTTGCTAAATCTTTCCACTGCCTCAAAGCCTAGAGAGCTAGCAAAGCCTGACAACCACATAACCTCTAAAAGTCCTATAATAAAATAAAATAAAAGAAAGAAATCCTGAGTACATAAATTACAAGCCATATATCTGTGAATATTCCAACCATTATTCCAATGCTACTTTGATACTAAATATCTCCTTCATACTTTACTATATATTTTACGCATTTATCTTGGTAGTTGTCTAAATTTTGGGGTACATATCAAAATCAATCTCGTAACTATAGAGGTGTTTCGTTACTGGTTCCAATTGAAAGCAAGTTTCTCAAATTAGTCCGTATCTCTTAAAAATTAATCAAAAGTAGGACAATTGTTGCCAAAACTTCAAAATCTTGCCCGAAAAAGACACGTCAATCTGACATGTCTTAATAATATAACAGTTGGTCCATTTAACTCCTGCGTGGCGGATGACATAGCAAAATATCAAAATTAGTCCCATAACTATAGAGATGTTTCAATATTGGTCCTATTAAAAAAATCAATTGTTTTTCTATTTTCACATAATTGAAAGGAAAAACATTTCAAGGTAAGGCTCTCTTCTCTTTTACTCCTACTTTACAGCCGTCATCCAAAATTCTGTTCTAACTTAAGCATCGGAGGATCTATCATTGAGGACAATCATAGGGCTCTGTTTTGCAGGCATCGGAGCAAAAGAAACGCATTAAGGAGGACGTCGGAGAATATATCGTCACGACATGTTCTCGGACTAATGCCAGGTACTTTATATATCATCATCAGTGAAAAAGGTGAAATAAAATAAAACTGTAAATTTTGTGTAACATCATAATAAGATAAATCTTCACTAAAATTAATCATTTGCATGTTTAGGAAGTGTTTTGTGCCTCCAAAATAAATCATGTACATATTCAATTGTCCGAAGTGTTTGTGCCTCCGATTAAAATTTTGTGCTTCACATCTGACCTGCCTATATATATACAGCAGCATATGGAGAGTTAATTTACTCATTCATTCTCCAGATACCAGAACAACACCATATTCAGATAGATAGGTAATTATAACCATCATCATCACTATCATCGATCGATCACCCAACAATGACATACTTAACAACAACTTTACTTGTAACTGCCCTCAATATTCTAGCTTCATTATTAATATTAGCTTACCCAACAAAAACAAAAACAATGGAGTTCAACTTCAACGCCACGGTAAACCACGTCGATCACGACAAACAGCTCAACAAAACCGAACTCCTGCGGCTGGCTCTCGACTGAAGTAGGAAGAGGCTGCAATGGCTCCAAGCAGCAGCCACAGATATTAACGCTGAAGCCCCCACTGCCTATAGTGGCGATCTCGAGTATTTCGCAAATCTCTCCATCGGGAATCCGCCGGTACCTTTCCTGGCCTTAATCGACACGGGCGACGGCCTAACATGGACCCAATGCGCACACTGCCGCCACTGCTCTGCACAGCCGACTCCCTTATTCAATCCCAAGAAGTCCAGCTCGTACACCGCGTTAAATTGCCCGAACGATAAATGCAAACTGCACGATCCCGATGGTTGCAATGGATTGCCGCCTGGCACCAAATGCAAGTACAGAAAAGTGTACCTAGATGGCACCGGGACCCGAGGCGACCTGGCCACCGAGACCCTCTGGTTTGGGGACGTCCACGTCCCCGGAGTCCTATTGGGCTGCGCATTTCACAGTNCACAATAATGATAATAAATAAGGCTGAAATTTACTCCAAGGAAAATAATGTAATCATGACAACTATTAATACATATCAAATTTCGATTTCAGATGTATCATGCTCGTGTGATATTTTAAATGCCTGATTTTCAATTATATTACGTACTATATTATTAATTAATTCACTTTTTTTTTAAGTTAAAAGTTATACTTTATGATAATTCTGATTATTGTATTCATACCAATATTCCATATGGATCATCCACCGATAGTTTGTTGTTTTAATTATTTTGCAAATCGGTTTTCAATGTTTGCAGTTTATTAATTATGTATAGATTATTTTGGAAATTGATTTTATATACATTATGAGCCATTCTCATTTGAACCTACTTCTATATATATATATATATATAGAAAAATCTGATCAAATTAGAATAACATAAAGTGAAAGAAATAAAAATAAATTATAGCCTTTGGATATATCAACCATCCTAATTTCGTCAAACGCTCCAACTTCGGTTGTTGTTCCTATAATTATGAGTACTTTTACATTTTCATGCAGTGACATTTTCGTCATTTTGCACAGTATAATATTTCCATATTGTATATTTTCATCTGTATTAATGTGTATTTCGACAAACATATTATGAATAATGTAGTGCGGTGACATTTTGGTAAATTTTTGAACTGTTAAATGTTTAGACGTAATCTTTGAAGACATTTGTAAGAAAATTTGAGTTCAAATAGGCATTTTTGAATGTAGTATATGAGAGACAATTAGTTTTATCTCACAAGGAACTCAAAAAGCAAACAATGGGGAGTGAAGAAAACAGAATTGGGAGTGCAAACATATTTATTTTGCTCAGGACCGACATACAAAGTGTAAAATAGTGAAGAAAGTTGAAAGAAAAAAAGCTATTACCATAACGATTATATAATTATTTTAGATATACCATAGAAATTTGTTGCGGTAAAAAATCAAAAAGAATTTTCACCACTTGAGCCAGTGGTTTATGGTAGAGAATCATATAGATTATTTAAAATATAATAACTAGGATTTTATTTAGACCATATATACATCCATTTAAAACATAATAATAGGATTTTATTTAGGCCATCATTTGTTTAAGACAAATGAGCATGTACTAAGACAAATTTTCATTTTTTTTTTAAGCATAATGTTTTTTAATTAACACTTATATGTTATACATAAGTGTCTTACTAATCGTATAATTAAAAGGAATCATTATATACCACTCCCCAAAACTTATTTTTATGATTCAAACAAATTGTTGTTTGTTGATTTTCCGTTGATGTTTATGATAGGCTTCGTGTTCATTTTCCCTTCTTATAAACTGACTGGGAATTATACTGAGCATGGGGAATTGATTTGGGTTTATCAACTATTGACAAGGGGGAGAAGATGGAATAGAGACTTAATCCTATTTTTAATAAATCTGATGTTGCGACAATTCTAAAAATTCCTTTGAATCATTTCAATTTTGTGCAGATACTTTGGTGTGGCATCCAGATCCTACTGGAAATCTTAGTGTTAAATCAGCATACCAGAGGAACAAAAACAGAAGAATCAAGTCGAGAGCAGTTCTTGCAAGAGAAAGAAAGGAAAACATGGAATCTTAAGGTAAAGAATAATAAAGCATTTTATGTGGAGATGTTTGAATGATCTTATGCCAAATGGGGTGAATCTATGGAAAGGAAAGTTAAAGAAGAAAAGGTTTGTGGAGTGTGTGGAGAGGAGGAAACTACTCAACATATCTTCTTTAGATGTGAAAGAGTGGAAAAAANACTAGAAAATTGACTAACATTTCGAATAGTGTTTCGGAATATCACTTGTGAGTTAATCCATATTGTTTATATAGCAAATGTGCCTAGTTTATAAGTGATATGGGATATTATATAGCTGAGGAATAGACCGGTTTGCATCATCGGTCGAGCAACCTCGAAGTGGAGAAAACCAGATTGGGAGAAGGATGATCGACCAAAAAGAAGGAGATCGAGCAGAATAGCAGAACTGGTCGAGGATCGACCAGAAGGGAGGAGATCGAGCAGAATAGCAGAACTGGTCGAGGATTGGCCAGAAGGGACTAGATCGAGCAGAATAGCAGAATTGATCGAGGATCGACCAAAGGGGAGGAGATCGAGCACTCAACAGGTGAAGAGCAATTTAAAGCGTGGCGTGAACGCGAGAAGGCGCGTGGATGACGTTGGAAGATCCCAACGGCCTGCGCAGAGGAATAATCTCCCTCAGCTTAGAGGGACACGTGGCGAGAATATATTAGTGCAGAGTGATAGTGGCGAAAGCCACCCCTGACATCTCTGACACACACACACACTATGTGTGTACGGACGGGCAGTACGGGCAGGACAGCTCACCAAAGCCGGGCAGTTTTTAGGGCAGGTATCTCACTCCTATATATATGGGAGTGGGTCTTTTCTTGTGACTTACGATTTATCCATTCTTTACTTTGGAAAATTGAACAAACACATACTGACTTAAGCATCGGAGGCTCTTCACCGGAAAACCCCTCCGGTGTGAGAGTTCTGTGCAAGAAAGCGGCGTTCTACCGGCGAGGAAGAAGGAGGCAAGCTGATTTCAAGCCGGTCGGAGTGTTTTGCGTTACCAATAAGCTTAATGATTTACTCCTCCTTTCACAGTTATTTTTCAAATAGAAATTCACTTAAATAGCAACTAGACTCGTGTAAAAGTGTTACGATTGTATGAAAATCGCACCACTTCCCACACTTGAGAACCATATGCTCAAAAGAATAATGCTACTTTCATATATAACATTTTGACACAACGGTTGACATAATTGATGTTTAAGAGTACGGATTGTTGATTTTAAAGTTGACGTGAATCATGTGATGTGTGAAATCACAAGATCTCTTGTCATGTGTGCATTATATTAAACTCTGTATCATTCATTACGTTTGTGTAGCAAGGTCCTGCTCAAAATCATTCAGAATTCTTAAATTCCAGAGATAACAAGTGCAGTGCTAACATAACAACAGAAATACAAAACCCTTCAATACGCACAACAGCAAAATTAGGACGAAAAATACAACTGCAAAGATGATTTGACGATCAAGTCTTTGAATGACAACACAAGATAAGATCACCAAATTTATCTGAACCACCAACAAGCAGAACTTCGAAACATTATTTGGTTCAAGTTTTCAATCTCCCATAATAAATGCAAGTCTCAAAACAATTTGTTTGTTCCCCCCCAAATTCCAAAATATTCTACTGTTGACACTCCAATACCAAATTCCTGAAATATATGTAAAGAGAGATAGTATTTCCACATTTTATCTTCCCTCAACACCCAACATAAAATCAAGCATTAGATAGTTAATATAACACATGTTTCTTGTACCATGTTGGTCTTCTTTCCTTTCTCAATTCATAGTATTCTTCATCTTTTCTTTCTCAATTCATATTATTCTTCAGTTTTACGGTATGTATAAATTACCTTAAACTGCAGAAGAATGTATCTGGATAATATCATGCAGATACTAAAAATATTAAAACTTAAATCAATAATCTCAATTCATTTCTAGATCAACAACACAATAAGGAAGGTGTCAAGACCAAACTTGTATCGGTAAATAACAGAGAGCAGAAAACTCACGTGGAGGAATTCAACACACTTCTACCCAATATCTGATTGTTAAACAACCATACGAATGCTGAAAAGAGCTCAGTAAGCACGGCGCATTCCCTTCTTCGGCTTCTTAACAAAACTCAGCCTCAGCTTTTTAAGACTTCTTCTCTTCCTGGCCATCTTCTCGGGAAGCGTCTCCCTCCTTTTCTCCTTCTTCACAGTCACGGGCTTCTTCTTCGCAAACCTGGGGTCCACCTTATATGCCTTAGGCTCAACGGGTAATCCTTTTTTTTCAGCCTGCTTGTACAGCACATTTGCCCTGTCAAGTCGCCCGTGAGCACACAGCTTACCCATCAACAGGTCATAGGTCTTCATGCCCGGCTCACATCTGTCCTTCTTCATCTTTGCAAAAACACTCAATGCATGATCAACCCTTTCAATCCCACACAAAATCTTCAAAAACTCATAATAAGCCTTCTTATCTAATGCGTCCCCATATCCGGCGGATTTCATTTTATCAATCATCTCGTCCCCCTCACCAACACGTGCAGCCTGATATAAACTTTTTATTAAAACAAGAAATGTAGTTTCATCCGGGTAGCAATTCCATTCACCCATCCTGGAGAAAAGCTTCATGGCTTCCTCAGTTTGCCTGATCTTGCACAGATTAGTGATCAGCACATTGAATGTCTCCACATCACGAGGAACCCCGTTTCTTTCCATCTCGATCAGCACTTTTTGGGCCTCGTCTTGAAGCCTAAAGGGATCCTTCTCCCTGCAAAGCCGACAAACGCAGTCTAGAATCGCGTTATATGCATACGTACTCAGTTCAAAACCCCCTCTGTACATCTCATCAGCCAATCTTTTCGCCTCGTCTAACTTCCCATCCACGCACCATCCCTTAATCAAAGAATCACAAATGTACTCATCTGGGAAGAACTCGTTAGCCAAACCCTTCACCATCTTCTCAGCATAACTGGCGTATCCATGGTCACAAAGTCTTGAAACAATCAGTTTATGAGAATCCTTGCTCCTAGTAAACCCATAATCATTTTCCATCTTCTTAAACAAAGCCACGACTTGGGTGGGCCTGCCGGCCCGAACCAACCGGTCGACGAGAGCCTCAAGACTTTTCATCCCAGCAACTCCGCGGCCATCCACAAGAATTTCATGGGTCGCCTTGAAATCTTTCCTCCTCCCAAAGTAATCAATGAAATAGGAGTAGACCTCGTCGCTAGGCTGAAATCCGGCCCTGGTTTTGACCCATTTAAGGAAATCAAGGGCCGCACGGCCCGCATCAGGGGAAATGTTAAGTGTGGCGAGGAGCAGCGTAGGGCTGATAGTGATATGAGAGAAGGAAAGGTCGAGCCTTTTGGGCAAAGGGAGAGGCTCCCAATCTTGGTCCTTTTGGAGCTCACTAGAGAACAATTCAGCTATGGATTTCTCTTCCTCTCCAATCTGTGGTGGCTTTTCATTATCGGAGCTGGAGCCGCCGTCATCAGCGTTCGAAGAGAAATGCCTGATAGAAAAATACAAAGAGTGCGTCCCGGTGAAGGAACGAGGGGAAACGAAATCCAAGCGGTTGAGCGGGGTCTCCGCCGCCGCCACTAGCGGTGGTCGATGAGTGGAGATAGAATTGGGCAGCGTGGAGAAACATCGAGTGAGGAGGAGCTTACGGAGCTGTGATGCGGATATGGGGATTGTGGGCCTACGCATTTTTAGTACGTGCTCAGTGTGACTGTGTGTGTGTTTCGATCGAGAGAGTGAGCGAGAGGAGGGTTTTGGGGGATTTGGAAGAAGACGACCATCACAGTACCAAGGTGTGACGGGCTGCAGGGGACGTAACGTGAGGATCTTAATATTAACCGTTGGATCATTTCAGATCAAACCGGACCGAAAAGACGATAAAGGGCAGACCTTTGCTGTGTCAACTAGGGGCTTTTGTGTCATTACAGTCCTAAATGTGGTGGATATAAGATTATGGAGATTTTGGATGATATTCGACTGGTGTCGCTCGACGCAGTTATTATCCTCGCTCAATTTCCGGTGAAAAAAACGGTGGCAGACGGAGCTCCGACCGCCGTGGGTCAGTGTGAAGTTGTGTTGTGAGGTAAATTCGCGATGTTTTCTTTTCTTTTCTGTTGTTGTTTTCTTGAGTCAATACACATTGATGTTTTTGCATGTTTTGGGTAGTTTTGTCACTATTTTAACCGGAGCATGTCCTTCAAATGTTCTTCCGTTGAGCTGCGGTGTTGTTTGAATATGTAGAAGAAGTTTCATGTTTTCGAAATGCCCCCAAGCATTAGTATTCGGGGGAACTGTTTGCGTACTCTAAAATTTGGGATGAGGTTGCTCATGATTCTGGGAAAGTGCTTCAATTGCAGTGAATGAAAGCAACTCTTTATGCATTTTTAGCTTCTGTGACCAGTAAATGACAGTTAGAATGGAGATTTTGCAACTAAAATCCAAAGCCCGTTTCACGAGCATCTTTTTTCTGAACAACCTTAGCTATTATTTCAGCAATTATCTTTACTCTAATAAACAAAAACTATAAACAATTTGCTTGTAAATTTATGTCTCTTGTGCTTCTCATGCAATAAATTTCTTTTGAAGATGAGTAGGGTTGAAAAATATGAAGCTGGAAGATGAATTCATAGTTCAGTGTTTGTGTGCTCGAGTCCATTTTGGTAGCTTTTCTGAGATAAACAAGTAACAAGCAATAGCACTGATATGTCAGTTGAAGTATTCACTAACCTTAGATTGATTTCCCTGATTCATGATTCAGAGGCTTGGGAGGAAAGATTGTTTAGCTTTTCCATGAATATGATCAATCCTTCGAGAGCATTTTATGTTTAACGTGGTTTTACATAATCTTTTAAAGCAAATTCATCAACTAACGTGATAATTAATTTTCTTCAGTTAGACTTTCTTTGTTGAGCACTTGTGGTATTAATAAATAGCCACATGCAGTCGAGGGAACAAATACGAGAAAGAAAACATTTCTATAGTTTCTAACGCACGCACGTGTGGGCAAGTAACTGTGAAAACCCATTCTTTGGCTAGACGGAGGTAAAAGCCATTCAAGATTGAACAGAAAATTGGCAAACAATATGATGCTCCGTTTGTAATATATAATTTCAGTTAATTATTTTCTTTAACACCAGGGTTAGCAAACACATAGGTCAATCAAAACTTGTTAGGTAGATGCTATACATTTCTGAATATGTGCTTTGCTTTTCAATATTGCGCAGATTCAAAGGAATACTTGTATGACTGAAGTTATTTAGTTGCCTTCTGGTCAGATTCTTTTTCTCTTCTTTGTTTGAGGCAGATATGGTGTTTTTGCTTACATCACCTGCAATCCATCAAACACAGTTACTAAATGCATCCTCTCAGGTTTTACTCTTTACTCTTTCATAACTGGAAACACAAGTTAACATCCATTCTTATATTTTTGCTAAATCAAAATTCGTGCATCAGCTAGGTTTTTATAGGCACGGTCGTCTCCAAAGTAATGTTACCTTCATTGTGAGGTCTGACAAAGTTCCTTCAACTTCAACTCCTGTTAGCCAAGGTACTTTCTAATTTAAATCTTTTGATAAAATAAATACGGATTTAAGTTGGCATCTCAGATGAATTATGTGTCATGCTCAGTAGTTACATTCAAGAAATGTCCACGTTTCAATTAACTCTTGATCATTGACAAGGATCCGAAGTAGTAATGTGAACTATTTAGTCGAATTGCGGCGAAACGCATGTGAAACAATGGAAGTGCCAGTAGCAACCATTAAAGAAGAATGGAAAATATTTCCTCTCATATTGGAATCTCATATAGTTCTGATTCTTCTGAACTTCTATTTACATGAATATACTATATGAAGAATTTGACTCTGCATTTGTTATGTTTCCCATTTAAACTACACCAATTCTTGTATTTCTAGCAGGTTTATGCATGCCAGAGAGTATCAAATCGTCCTTTGTTATTGTGCAGGAGCTTATTTCTGCCAATTTTTTTTTTTTTTTTTTTATTTTTTTTTTTTTTTTTTAATAAATAGACTTGCAAAACTTGGATTAACATGCCTTTTTATGTTTATGACAGCTGGACCTGGCCGACGCCAGCTCCTTGCCATCGGGACAACAATTGCCCCATGGTTATTCTTTTGTCAGCAGACTCCAAATTCGTGTATGCCATTTTCTTGAGGAACTTCTGGGTTTTCAACTTGACCAATTCTCTGTCTATGCAATATGAACCTTACCGCAGCTCATGATTTCCTTTTTTATGTCTTCGTTCTTATATGCTGGTCATGTATTATTGCTCTAAGTTATACTCCCCCCATCCTGAACTTATCGACGTTTTAGAACTACTGTTTGTTTGTCTACTTATGCTCATTGTAAATCAGTTGGTTGAAGATTAGTAAATGAAAGCAAATTGAAAAGAAAATTGAATTAAACCGTGAAAAATCATAAATCAACAGTTGTTTTGAGACATGTCTAGAGCTGAAAGGACAAATTATTTGTAATGAGGGAAAGTATATATCACCAAACACCATCAGCAGCAGCAATACTTCCCACATTCTAGACAAAGTATGGTAAAGTTGCAATAGCATGTTGCGTGTGTTTAGAGATATTGAAATATTCCTTTCAGTTGATTGTTTACTGGGAGAACTTAAAAAAGTCTAAGAGTGTGCTGTTGGTTCAGTTGCTGCAGAAACAAAGAAGGGATTTCTATTGGTTACAGATAGGAAGGATGGATACAATTTTCTGTATCCCTTTGGATGGCAGGTGGATCTCATAACTTCCATTTACTTGACAGCATTTTCCAATTTTTTGCCATATTCATCTAATTCTGCCTTTATCTTTTGTTGATGAGTCAGGAGGTAATTGTTCAAGGGCAGGACAAAGTCTTCAAAGATGTGATTGAGCCTCTGGAAAGTGTCAGCGTAAATATGATCCCTACTGCCAAGCAGGATATACGTGAATTTGGACCTCCAAAGGAGGTTAGCAAACTAGTCGAACTCGTTTGAAATAACTTTTTTATGCTGAAGGGAGTCATGATGCTGCTCGAGTATTGTGTGATCTGTGTGTTACAAATTCTTTGTCGAACTTTCTTCTTTGTCAACTGTGAACTACTGCCATATTGTTATTTGATATCATTTGTTAGTCATAATGAGATTCTGGGGGTGCTTAATATTTTGCATTTTCTGTCCAGGTTGCTGAAACTTTAATAAAAAATGTCTTGGCTTCTCCTTCCCAAAAGACAAAACTGATCGAGGCATCAGAGGTAAGTTTTTATTTCTTCTTCTCATTTACACGCTGCGACTTGTATTTAGCAAATGGGAAATTCATTATTTTCAACGTGAGACTAAAAAAGAAAAACGAAAAAGGAAAGGGCGAGTTGACTTCTTTTAGCTTCTTCACTTTCTCGTTTCTTTCACGATCATGGAAGTGTTCAACTTACTTTATGCTGGTGACCGTCAACATCTTCCTGTCTGGTTCGTGAAAAATTTTACCTCTTCTAAATTTTCTGAAGTTTCATGTACCCTATTACAAGTGCTTATGAGCTTCTTTTGCTACACATTTTTTCTCACCATTAGAAGGATTCTCTTTTTTATATTTAATCTTTTCTAAATTCCACGTGGTGTATATGCTCGACTGCAGTTCGAATTTTAAAAAAGTGCAGCTTAATATAACTATCCTGAGAAGATAAAATGAAATGAATAGCTGAAAAGATGAATTTTACACTACATCTTCCGCATGATCCGACACAATTTTTTGCCTTCTTTTATAGATTTCTTCTGTGTTAATATGATGAATTGATAGTTTAATATTAACCTTCCTCACGTGCTGAATCTATTTCCATTTTGCAGCATGAAGTGGAGGGCAAAGCTTATTACACGTTCGAGTTCACCGCACAAGCTCCAAACTACACACGTCATGCTCTTAGCACAATCTCTATTGGCAATGGTATGAAAAAATGCACAATTTTGGTCAAAACATTCATTTCTTCTTTTTTTTTTCTGCATTTATGCTTACAAACTTGGGGTAAATTTTCTCTGCAGGAAAGTTCTACACGCTGACAACAGGGGCGAACGAGAGGAGATGGGAGAAAATGAAAGACAGGCTGAAAACCGTGGTAGACTCCTTCCAGATTTTCAATGTCTAATGTCGAAATCTGTATGTTGCTCTTTTGTTCACATGGTAAACTATCTAACACTAGAGGCTATTCTATCAGTGTGTAGATATGAGCATTTCTTTTTTTCTACCAAAAATTCAAGCCTCTGCTGTTGTGATTTGTAACATTATTATGTGTTTACTATTGCACAAAGATGTATATGTCTTGTGAGTTCAGTATAAATTGCAAGATCTGTACATTCTTTATGATTTGAATATGTGGGTACTTTTTAGTGTCTTTTTGTCCAATGACACTTGAAATAAAACTCGCTGGATAATATTTGATAGTGGTAAAGTATTTAAATAGTCCATCTGTTTATAATAATTGAGTCATCTATATGGTTTGTACGATTTTGGCAAAAAATAATAGGGTTGGATCACTAATTTTCCATTTCTTTCAATCAGTAATATTTATTTTAGTCATAACGTTGACATGCTATTAATATATCATTCTGCTAACACGTTATATTGATATAAATTTTGATTCTGCAACATATATATATCCATCGATATACGAAAAATAAAATAAAATTTATGTTTATTCTTGTTCACCATTTATTTAATAGTCCATTATTATTTTATTATAATATTTGTTGTCATATAATGTCATTATTATTATTTATAAAGGTTATAGAAGTAGTCTTCTTCTTCTTAGTTTATGTAATGAGTTTAAAATAAAAAAATTTCTATAAATGTTTACAAAATACACACACATGTTTTTTAGAATTTAATTTTCTCATAATAATTAAAAAAAAAATTATTTAGCAAATTGTCAAATAATAAACCTTACATAATCAAGAGATTTTTCTAATTTGCATCCTAAGGCTTTATTAGTTTATTTAACATACTATGCAATATAAATATATATTTTACAATAAATTCATTATGGAAACAAATAAAAAAAAATGATAAAATTATCATGGTCGACAATAATATACAAATAAATCAAATGTTGAAAATGTAAAGAATAGTTAATATATTTTAATTTTTTTATTTAGCCATTAATAAATTATTTAATGATGTGATCATTATCTCTTAAATGGTAAATTATTTGTTTATATAATTAAATAAAGGTTAAAAAATATTATCGAAAAATATTAATTCACCAACTTGATTTCGGCTAATTAGTTAGATGGAGAATTATTTAACATGTTACCATTGTTTATAAATATTTTAGGATGAAAGTCAACATTTGTGAAAAAAATAATAATAATATAGTTAAGACTTAAAAGTTGTTTTCATGTTTATGTTGACCCAAATTTTATCAACATCAATCACGAAAAATCAAATTATAGTTTATTATAATGGATATCAATAAAATTATTGCATATGTTAATAAAATTATTCAAGGAAAGAATCTTTTTGGTCATATTTGATTTGGAAATGTGTATATTAAAACAATTAATATTTAAAAAGTTTCCAAATAAAATATGCATTACATGCTCATTGACTTTTTTGCTGCTATTTTTGATAAATGTTAATTCTTTTTATATATATAGAGGTGTCGTCGTAGTTTAAAACATGAGAATTACGAATTTATTGAATTGAGTAATATACTACTTTATTAAATCTCTCTAAATTTAATTATAAGATAAGATATCTCTCATTTTTTGCAATCATTTTTTTCCCTTTCTATCTCCATTTTATTGTTACAATTTGGATTAATTGTTAGTCAATAGTCCTTAAGGGCATATAAGTACTTTCATTCCTTTAGTAGTGTGTGTATATCAGTGTTTTAAATACCGTACCGATGGTCATACCGGTCTAGTCACTGGTACGCGGTATTACCGGTAAGACCGGTAATATTGGTGGTATTACCAGATTAGCAAATATAATGATATATATATTTATATATAAAAATGTATTATATCAAATGCAAAAAAGTAAAAAAAAATAAATGACCATAATCTTTAATTTTAACTTACCAATGAGATAAAAATAAAATATTCTAACTACCAATTTAAATTTTATGTTTTTAATTAATAATTTATTAAATTATTTTTTATGACCGGTATTTTGGACCGGTTTTTTTCGGTATTTACGGTATGACCCCGGTATAAACCGGTGTAACCCTAAATCTGGTATTCTATGTACAATTGTACCGTACAATGGCCGGTATCCGGTATTATCGGTATTACCGGCCGGTACGGTACGGTAATGAAAACACTGGTGTATTTGTTGTCTTGTGTTTCTAGCCGTTGCAAGTTGCAACTACCAAAAAATACTAGTATTTGATCATGTACATTTGCACAGATATAAAACATGTTTTTGTTTGTATTTATTAATTAGACATGTAATTCTATCATATAAAAATTATTACTTTTTCTTAAGTTATTTTTATCATTCAAAATTAATTGAGATTTAAATTTATTTTAACCATGCAACGTTTACATTAGTAACATGAATAAAATAATTTATATATTTGTGGCATATATTAAGAAAATTAATATAAATAAAAAAAATATTGGTGTTTCTGATTTTTAGAAAAAAAAAATGTGTCAATCATATTTTTCTTCCAACAATGCAACCAAACATAGAGGTTACAGCTCTGAATGTATCAATCAACTTTAAGTTTCAACATTAGCCGTTACACATTTGAATATTTGCTACCAAATTTAGAATTAATTTAGTAACTGATCCAAAAAATAAATAATAAAAATATATATATATTAAGGTGTAACGGTTTTAGCAGATTAGTGAGTAATTAATTAAAAAAATGTAACTCCTTTTGTAGAGAAATGAAAATAGGTTTTATTAAATGTTTTATTAGATGCATCAGCTAGTAATTTATAATTATATATATAGAGATTTTGCTTCTTCCTGCTAATGAAAATGGAGTTTTTCTCTCCAATTATGTTTTCTGGTTTTTGGCTCTACCATTGAACATAGTATAAAAGCTTGAAAATTAAACAAAAACAGCACGAAATACAGCGTGCAACACGGTTGCGACAAGAGGTCGCAACATGAACAACAATGGAGATGGAAGTGAGAATCGATCAATGATTATGATGTTGGAGGATCCTTTCTCATTGCACAGTTTCGATCATCCTGATATGGCTTGAGTCTCGACATTTGTCTGGTTCGAACTATCAATGATGGCGGAGAGCTATGTCGATCGCGCTTGGTGCAAAGACGAAGTTCGATTTTGTAGATGGTCAAGTGAATAGACCAGATCCTGTAGCACCCCCAAATTTTTACTACTAAAAATCTAATAAGTCTTTTGGCGTATTTAAAACTAATTTTCTCAAAGGCAACTAATCAAAGAGGGTACCACAACACAAATTTTCCAAAATATGCCACAAAACTCAACTTTAATCTCAACTAATGTTGCTTGTACAAGTCAACTTTGGGAACATAACTTCAACAATTCACAATCTCAAAACTTCACATGAATCTCAATGCCATAATATAAATAATGACAATTAAACAATATACATCCAATTCAAAATCCAAGTCATAAGCGTATGAAATAACCATGAATAATAATTAGTTCTACCAAGCCAAGTCATATTCAAATATCTCAATAAACATAAAACATCAAAAAAGTTTCAAAACATGACCACTCCACCATCCCATATCCCGACACCAACTCGATCAACTTGAAAAAGGGTAAATGAGGGGGTGAGCAACCACAGCTCAATGGGCAATAATTGCGACAACTAATCAGGTTAATAACCAATATCACCATAATTGTACACACGCCGACATGCATTTACTTCCCAGCTTCAAGCCCCCATGGTCTACTCGGACTTGTAGCTCTTATTTCAAACCTCTATGGTATACCCGACTTAGTGACTCTTATATATACACCGGACATACGTCACATACATGGAAGCCCGTATATTTGTACATCGACACTGAGAATAACTTACCCGAAGGCCTATGAATAATTTGCCCAGAGGCCATAAACAATGATGTCGCGTGACTCTAGAGCACCTAGTATATTGGCCCGTCGGCCCTAATAATAGTGCTCATAGGCACAATGACATGTACATATAATCATAATCATATCAAGCGATTAAAATGAGTAGAAGCGTTGAAATACCCCGCCTCAACTTTGAAGGATGCAAATGATGAATGATGAAATGCTCAAAGTGCTCCTCGAGGACTCAGCTCTTTGAAATCTGCATGAATAAATTATTTATCTTAAGCATAATATTTCTCCACATAGCATAAATGTAATTTTTGAAATTTATTTAATTAAATAAAAAAATCGAGGCTCGGCTAAAGGTCTCAGATTAAAACTATCGGCACGGTTGGAAAATAATTAAGGCTCAGGTAAGTGGGCTGAATCCGACGGCTCGAGGTTGGGGTTCGATTCTTCCCGGCTCGCTGAGATGGCTCACAGCTGCAGCTGGGACACTGTCGGGTTGCACGGGTGCGCTGGAGGTCGGTCGGGTTGCACCTTGGAGGTTTCTGGTCGGATAGACGTAATTCTCGCGCTTGGGCGCTGGGCGTACGCGGGTTGTGTATCTAATGGCACTGAGGGTTTGGTGGCGGCAGTGAGGCCGGCTTCTAGGGTTTCGGTGGTTGGTGGCAAGTCCAACGATCTCGGCTATGATCGAGGAGAAGCTTAGGAAGAAGATATCGTAGAGGGTCTCGTTCCTTTGAGGCGGGACTTAAGCGACCGTCGCTTGTGGGCAAAGCCGACCGCCCAGGGACCCTACTTAACCCAGGGCTCAATATTATTAATTATTGATATATATTAATTATATAAAAAATAGTTTTAATAGCCTTTTTTTTTGTTTAGTAAAGATATTTAATTGTTTTTTTTCATTTGACAAATTTCATGAAATAATAATTATTATTTAAAAGTAATATGTTTTTATATTCTTGTCCATATTCTTTTCATTTGTTTTTCAAATTTTGTTTTCTTGTTTGAATATAAAAGATGCTATTTTGTGAGACACAATTACACATTATTTATACTCATTAGAAGAGTCAATAGCAATCAACTCATTGTAAGACGAGTTTCAATTTATCGTTATTTAGTTTTCTTAGATATCAAAACTAATTATTTTTTACTTTCCCAATTAAAAATATTAAATTTTAATTGAATATTATATACTCCAATGAATTTAAGATATATATTTAAGTAAACAAAACGTTGTTTGGATATAAAAAAAAATTGGTTTTGTTTGGATTTTTTTGTTTGGTTTGGTTAGTTTTGAAAAGTTGGTATGATTAGTTGTTAGTGGGTATATTAAAATAATATTTAGAATAAAATGATTAAAGTTGATTTGATGTAAAATAGGAGAGAGAAAATCTGAAGTGATAGTTAGTTAAAATTATGTGAGTGGATGA